AGAACATTATGATTTTTTCTACTTCTGTCAGCGAATTCCTGTTCACTGACATAACCAAGACAACATGGATAGATATCTTTCCTCTCCTACAGTTTGATTCCTAGATCAGGTACAGACTGATTGAGTAATACAGAAATCTGGCACTGATGAAAATTATTACCTTCCCCTCACTTCTACCAGGCAGATACACTTTGTGCCAGAATAATTCTCTGTTGCTCTTTCAGGCGCACTTAAAGGACAGAAGAGCATACAAGGGGGCCTAAGCAAAAGACTGGGTATGGTCTTTGATATTCACAGTGAAAGAATATTTGTGAAAGGCAAGACCTCGTTCAGAAATGCAGCAAGGGCATGATTCAACTGTTTTCACAAGCAATACTACTTCACATCAAAGGCAGTCTGGTCTTTTGAGGTTGGCTTGTCAAACTGTATTAAACATGGCTTTTATGATTAGTTATCAAAGGTTTGTAATGATAGCACTGAGATAAATGCTTTTGATCCAGCCAGTCATGATTTCTCCTCTCCTACTTTAAAACATCTCCTGCCTTTTCTAGCCATTGTATGTATACATATATATATGTATACACACAGATGTTTAAGAATACTGAGAAACTGTCCGAGCAGCTGGGGATTAAATTAGGAAGGCCAAAGCCCTGATAGAATTAATTCTGCTCAGCGATGTCAACAGCAACAAGAAAAGCTTCTATAGGTACATTGGTAATAAAAGACTAGGGAAAACGTGGGCCTTCTCCAGAAGGAAAAGAGAGACTTGGTCACCTGGGATATGAAGAAGGCTGAGGTACTCAATGACATTTTTGACTCAGTCTTCACCAGCAGTGGCTCTAGCCATACTGCCCAAGTTGCAGAAGGCAAAGGTGAGGACTTGGAGAATGAAGAACCACCCACCATAGGAGAAGACCATCTAAGGAACCTAAAGGTGCACAAGTCCATGGGACCTGATGAGATGCACCTGTGAGTCCTAAGAGGGCTGGTGGATGAAGTGGCTAAGCCACTGTCCATCATATTTAGGAAGTTGTGACAGTCCAGTGAAGATCCTGCCGACTGGAAAGGGGGAAACATAACTTCCATTTCTAAAAAGGGAAAAAAGGAAGATGTGGGGAACTACAGGCTGGTCCATCTTAACCCTGTGCCCAGCAAGATCATGGAGCGAATCCCCCTGGAAACTATGCTAGGGCACATGGAGAAGAAGGAGGTGATTGGTGATAGCCAACATGGCTTCACTAAGGCAAATCATGCCTGACAAATTTGGTGGCCTACTATGACAGGGTTAACGTGTTGGTAGATAAGGGAAGAGCAACTGACGATATCTACCTGCACTTGTGCAAATCTTTCAACACTGTCCCACATGACATATTTGTCTCTAAAGTGAAGATATATGGATTTGACAGATGGACCACTCAGTGGATAAGGAGTTGTCTGGATGATCACACTCAGAAAGTTGCAGTCAACAACTCAATGTCCAAGAGACATTGAGGAGAGCAGTGATGAGTGACATTCCTCAGGAGTCAGTTTTGAGACTCTTGCTGTTTATCATCTTTGTTGGTAACATGGATAGTGGGATTGAGTGCACCCTCAGCAATTTTGCCAGCATCGCCAAACTGTGTGGTGCAGTCGACACACTGGAGGGAAGGAATGCCATTCAGTAGAACCTTGACAGTGTGGACAGCAGGTGAAGGGAGGTTATTCTCCCCCTCTACTCTGCTCTGGTGAGACTCCACCTGGAGTTCTGTGTCCATCTCTGCAGCCCTCAACATAGGAAGACCTTACAATGTCACCTTACAGTGACCTTCAAGGACATAAAGGGGGCTTACAGTCAAGATGAGGAGGGACCCTTTGTCGGGGAGTGTAGTGATAGGACAAGAGGTAACTGTTTTAAGCTGATTTAGATTAGACACAGGAAGAAATTCTTTACTGTGAGAGTGGTGAGACACTGGCACAAGTTGCCTAGAGAGGTTGTGGATGCCCCCTCCCTGTAAGTGTTCAAGGCCAGGTTGGACCAGGCTTTGAGTAACCTGATCTAGTGGAGGGTGTCCCTGCCCATGGTAGCAGGGGTGGAACTAGATGATCTTTAAGGTACCTTCCAACCCAAACCATCCTATGATTTTATGATAAGTGTTTCAAAAGTTTAGTTGTACAGTATCCTGAATATTCAGAACTGGTTGCAGAGATTTTGTTCAGTCATTTTGGGCCTTTGTGACTATGGATCAGTAAACTTGGTTGAAGAGTGGGAGCAATTCCTGACTGAGGTGTTCAGAATCAGTCACAATGAGAACTTTAAAACAATTACTTGATTTCCAACTTTTATTTGTCAGAGCTAGACCTTTGTGAAATAAAATTTTATTTTTAGTCTTATGAACAATTCCTCACTGAGTTATAAACAAAAACTCTAAATTTATAGTTTCAAAATCTGATTTTGGAAATTATTTTGTTTTCATTTTGAATAGCATATAGCATTTTAACAAAAACTAAGTGGTTCCTATCACTGACAGATATCAACTTTTATCAGCTATGAACAGTATTTTTTGTCTCTTTACCAGCAACTCAGGAATGCCTTTAACTGTATTTTACTAGTTGTCTTAATTTAAATAGAAGACTGAAAAATTGTGCTTCACTTTCAGTGTGGAAATATTGGCTTATAGATTTACTTCAGTTGAAAGACAATGGGACTATTCATGCCAGAAGAAATAAACAAAATGGCAGGTATTTAGGGTAGGGGAACACATCATTATTCACACTGTGTTGGTGTGTGCGATTTTGATGTTGGTAGTTTACATTTTTTAAAATTGTGTGAGGTGTTTAGGTGTCTAAATATTTATTGAGAAATATATTTGGAAATCTTAGGATTCTTAACATTGGTCTTCATTTTTAGAGATCAGTTGACTTATCTACATGTAATTGTCTACTGCTATTTAAATTGTCTCAGGATAGCACACTTGACCTGCAGCAATCATGCATGTTTCTCCTGTGTTGTCTTTGTCATATCTGCCAGCCTGCAGGGAATGTCACCATACCTTAGATGTCACAGATAATCTTTGATCACTGTCTGTGGGCCTCTGAATCAAGTCTTATCTTTAAAATTAAAGATAACATCCTTGCAGACACCGACATGTAAATGCTTATATTTACATTTATAGTAGTATAAATGTATTTAGATGACATGTTTAAATTTTTAAGTGTTTTAAAGTGTTGTTCTGATGTTCTTATTCTCTGCTGAACTAAAACCAATATGGTTGTGACTGGTGAACCAAATTGTTCTTTTGGGCTTGGCCAACTGCCCTGAGCATAACAGCAATTTAGACACTGTAGACACACACTGATTAATACTTACATGTAGGTGTCTTAATCCTGAATTGGACACCACCTGATAATTGTATAGAAAGGTAAAAGTATTAGGAATGGATCCACAGAAGTAGTTGCAAAAATGTGTATTTGCTTTTACATCTCTCACAGAGGAGAATATTAATTATCCTGGCTATTTTAGTCAGAACACAAGTATGTGTGTCAGGAAGTACCAAAATGTTCTATGGCTTCCATTACATGTTTAGTAGTAATACGGTACTTCCTTATTCATCAGCATCCATGCCAACAAAACATAATGGTAAATGCACATTTAAGTAGCTCTGAATTCATGGAGCGCTTAGGACAGTAAAAGCTTCCAAATGAATAATTGCTTCATACAGACAGTTTTTGCATCCTAAATTGCTCAGTGGTTGGACTTTAAAATAGCATGTGTTTCTATTAGTTAATCTCTAGGCACTGTAGAAAAGGCAACAGACTGCAAAAGGATTAATATAAGAAATGAATGCAGCGTGGTAATAGTGGGAAAAAAACAATCATAATTGTTTCCTCCTGGGAACCATTATAAAGAGAGGAAGGAAACAAGTTTCTTGCCTGTAAATAGTTACAGACACAACATATTTTTTGTTAAACCACATTTTTGCCATTTTGAATTTAAAATATTTTCACAAGTTTTCCATGACTTCCCTACAGAACTCAATCCTCATAATAAATTCTGATGAAGAAAATCAACATACAGTGCCTGGGGGTATAATTTTCTTACTTGCTGAGTAGGCATGTTAATATTCGTGTGGGCAAGACTTTTATTCAGTCTAACCAAGATACTTGAAAGTGAGGTAGTATTTTTAAAAAATACATGTTTAAAATATAGCGTGATATTCTTTCCTGCAATGCACTGCATATTTGATCTTTACTATATTGTAAGTGTACAATTCATTCTGGACATGAGCATCCCATTGATAGTTTTGTATGTGGAATAGGCTGAATACTAGATCAAAGACTGACTACATTTTTCCATACAGAGCTTATGCAGTACTTTTTTTTTCCTTCCTTTTTTTTTTTTTTTTTTTTTTTTTTTTTTTTTTTTTTTTCCTACAAGAAGGGAGAATTAGAAGCTGGTGTATCTATTCAGTATTAAAGAATTATACAAGGCAGAATCTTAAAATACAGGATGGCAGTTGTTAAACTAATTCCCACCACTTTCATGCACAATAAAAACACAGAGAAACTGTAGTAAATGGCTTACATATTTCTTGTTTGTCTGTATTAGAAATCATAAATTAGCACTTTTACTTCCACCTCACAGATTATGAGAAGTTAGACAGCAACACTGCCTACATGGTTTATAAATCTATAGAGACAAATCTACATGTCACTTACAGCGCTCTTAGCAGTATATGCTGTAATTGAAGAATAAAAATATCCATTACCAGAAAGAAAATATCTTCCTTTCTATTCAGGTGGGTAAAGTACTAAGTAGTATGTGAATATGGTAATAATATTAAAATCATCTATGTTTGCTGACCATATGAAGTTCATATGATTTTGAGAGATTATATTTTCTTTCTTTTTCATGTTTCCTGATTTCAGATAAAAAAAAAAGAAAAACAGATGCTCCTTGTTTGTATTTCTACAGTTCTGAGCTCTTGTTTTATTAACATATTTATTTGTGTGGACTTTCTTAGGTTATATTCAGTTGGAGGCCGGGATGGAAGTTCATGTTTGAGTTCAATGGAATATTATGATCCTCACACAAATAAATGGAATATGTGTGCTCCTATGTGTAAGAGAAGAGGAGGTGTAGGAGTCGCTACATGTGATGGCTTTCTTTATGCGGTTGGAGGCCATGATGCTCCTGCTTCTAACCATTGTTCCCGACTACTGGACTATGTAGAAAGGTATCTAGCTATACATACATGTTTTGAACACAAAATAATGTCCAGTAGCATAGTTTTCTTAGCTAAGTGATGGTAAAATTAAACAGATGTCTTTACTCCAAGAAATTCCAAATTATTATTTCCTAGAAAAATTCCATAGATGATTGTTGAACACAATTTCTTTGAAGGTTATTTTCTTTTCCTTTTTTTTCACAGTACTACTATATATTACAAAAGACACAAAAATCCACGTTTTTCATATGTAAAGAAATATACATTTAAGAAATTTTTTGTATTTAAGAAATGATATTACATGTTGCAGAGTAACAAACTAAATTCTGAGATAAAAATTCAGACTTGAAACAATTTTATAACACCAAATTTTGTTTAGAAGCATTTTGTAACTCTAAAAGCATAGATGAGCAAAGAAGAAATATAGAAATGCTCAAACGATGGATTTTTACAGCACCTGACATTGCTTCCTTTAGCAACACTGCCACCCTGAATTTTGCAAGTGGAAATTCTGCAAATTCAAGAATGTCTAGTAGGACAGTAGGGCACAGTTGGAGTGATTATACATTAAATTTGAAGGTACTCTTCAAATGTTTTATGAAGTTTTAACTTTTTTATGTTTCTGTATGCTTTAAAATACAATAAGGATAATATACTCTCCAAATTTGTACAGGCTGCAAGGTTAAATTAGAAGCGTTTCAGTAATTAGTTTATCTTAACATGCAAGTAAGGATAGAGTCTGGGAGAGATTTATATATTTATTTATTCTCCAAAGGGATTAAACTTTAATTAAATGTCAGTTATTGCTGCTGCTGAATCTGGCTTGACATTTACCAGTTACCCAATATGTAATCCAAAATTAGAAGTTAAAACTTAGTCCTTATGTTATCCATATGATTTTGTTCAGTCTTAAACTCATTCCCATTTCTACTGTATGTAAGCAAAGATCACAGACTGCCAAATACTTCTCATCTCCAACAGATGGAAGGTTCATCAGACAAATCCCATGATGGCTGTACTTACAGGGGCTATACTTGTGGGCTTCTATATATAAGGAACAATAACCAGAATTTTCAGTTAAATAAATTTATATTAAGACTATTAGTGACAATATTAATAAGTATGAAATCTTTCCAACTACTTCTGCTTATTGGTACTTGTAAGGGAGATTTTCTTTAATTGTTTGGTCTCTGAGAAGAAAACCAGTCTGGTGTTGAAGACAAACCACTTTCCATCATAATTTTCTTTCTCAGGGGGGATTGTAACAATGAACTAAACCACATATCCTTAAGCTATTTTATATACTGGTATCTGAATGACATTCTACAGTGTTCCTCATATAGGTATTTTTGCACTGATAACAGAACACATGGATAATGTACTTCATGGGCAGTTAGCTTCTAGACTAATAGTTGGGACTAATAAATCAGAACTTGTAAGACTATTACCTTCAATAGAATGGATGTGAATTAACCAGTGAACTCTACTAAAACAAATGAAAAAACTCTCATGGCCCTCCCAGTGATTGATAAGTTTACAAGGTGGTGGGGATGTGATTTAGTGTGTCTATTTTTACATTTAAAAATAATGTGTCATCTTCAAAGAATAAAAGCATCTTAATAGTTTAGGAAACCAAAAAATAATAGGTGAAAATGAGATCTATTATAGTAAGTTATTTTATCTGTCTGAAAGTTTTACTTTCTGTAAATATCTAGGGCATCTTTTTTAACTAAGTGTCTTCTTGAGGAATGACTCTCTGTTTCAGCCATTTTGTCAGCCTGATGGGATGTGCTTTACTCAAATACGAGTTTGCTCCTGGAAGACTGTCTAAACCAGATATAAGGTTTTAAAATTTATTTTTGAGATTATGTAAATCCAATGAGAGCAGATATGTTTTTTAAATGTTACTGTTAAAATCCTACTCACAGTAATTAGGACTCCCAGTCTAAATTCTTCTAAGATTGATGAAATTGTAAAGAATTTCCTATGGTGTCCTGGTTTAGGCCCAGAGGGCAGCTGATCACCATGCAGCCCTTCACTCCTTCCCCTGTCAGAGATGGGAAGAAGAATATGAACATTTAAGGACAGGGGGCAGCAGCTCACTCATTATGGTAGGGGAAGAAAAAGAAAACATCACTTTAATTCAAATGCTAACAAAGACAACACTTAACAGACAAGGTGGGGACAGTGAGAAGTGCCACCACATCCAAAACCATCTCCCCCTACCCCTCCCTTCTTCCCTGGCTCATCTCTGCTGGTATTTCTACCTCCTCCACCAGTGGTGCAGCGGGCAGGGGATGGGGGTCACTCAGCTCGCTGCTCCTTCCTTCTCAGGAGGTGGGGTGAACTCTGAACATTCTTCCCCTGCTCCACATGGCTCCCCTCTCCCTGCAGACAGTCCTTCACAAGCTTTCTCCAACATAGTCCTCCCCACAGGTGGCAGCCGTTCACATGATGCTCTGGTGTGGATCACCCCAGGGTGTTTCAGTCCTCCCAACGCCAAACCACAACAGTGGGGGCCGCTTCTCCCCTCAAAGTCCTGGCCTACTTTAAGCACAGATGCCTGCCCTGAAGCAGCTTTCTTCTCAGCTTCAGGTCAGCCTCTACTCCACTGTGGTCCTCCACAGGTGGCAATGGGGCAGCCCTACCGTCTCACCACAGGATACAAGGGACTCTGCTCCAGTGCACTTTCCCCACATCCTTCTTTCTTCCACTGGCCTGGGTGCTCATTCCTCTCACAACTTCACCTCACATGTCCCCGCTCCATCTCAGGTTCCCCTTCTTAAATATATTTTCGCAGAGGTGCAGCTGATTGGCTCAGCCCTGGCCAGAGGCAGAGCCAACTTGTAGCTGGGGAGGTTTTTGAGAAGCTACTCACAATGGGTCATAGCTGTAGCTCCCTCCCCCGCTACTGAAAAACCACACCACAGAAACCCAATACATATGGATTCAAGCATTCTAAAATAAAATGACAGTTACACTTGCCTGCTCTTCAGAAGCTAGGAAAGTAGAATTTTGTATTCTTTTTTAAAGGTAAAATAACTTGCTCCTTTTTAAGAATTATGCAATTTTGGAGATATTTTAGCAGATTTCATAAAGTAGCTTTCTTTTCCAAATGCTACTCAAAACTTGATAGCTATTAAAAACATAACTGAGTGATCTATAGCTTTTCCCCTTTGTCTTACCTTGATTTCAAATTAATTTCTTTCCACATTCAAGATCTATTAGCGTAACCCTTACCACTCTAGGGCATACCTAGCTATTATAAAGGTGAAATGTACAGTTGCTTTTAGCAAAAGGAAGGATATAAGAAATATCAAACACTTTCCTGGTAATTACAAAAAACAAGTTCTTGTAATTTTCTGTTTTGTTGACAGAATTGTGTTATAAGAATTCTGTTTAGCCTTTCAAACCTATTTATAAAAAAAAAAAAAAAAAAAAAAAAAAACCAAAACAAAACAAAAAGTCCCAAGATGTCAACTGTATTTAGTTTCCCTGCTTTTGCACCTCCTCACCTTGGCCCCTGTAATTCAAGAGCAGTGTACCAAAGAGTCTATTATAATTTATTGCCAGTAGGCAGGTGAAGATACAGTGCATTCTGGTGCATTTCACTGGTTGGGAAAGCCTTTTACTTAGAGGCATATGATGCTGTTGTTGAAAAAGTCACTGTCATTGAAAAAATCCATTCTTTTTTTTTTTTTTTTTTTTCTTGCTACACATGCATTTCCCTTCCATATATTCAAATATTGTTTTGAAGTATTTTCTTCTCAAGTTTTAAAAGACACTTTCTCACATATCTAGATATTTAACTCAAAACTTCTTAAGGAAAGACAGCAAAATGAAAGAATATGAATAAAGAAAATAAAGAAAATCTGTAAAAAGAAAGAAAAATTAACAACAGAATTTAATGCTATTTTAGACATAAAAAGTTGTACACAGAACTTTAACATCTTATTTTCTGAAAAGTCCTCATAAATCCAGAAGTATTAGCAGTCAGTAGATGAGTAGATATTTTTCCAAAAATGTATTTAGCTGTCAAGAACAATTTAATTAAGGTTAAAGACAGTTCTGGTTTTGCCCAATTTGAAGGTGATATTTATGAGCCAAAAGGCAGTTACAAGCAAAGCACTGTAACATTTTTGTTGCAATGTTTATATTTAAAAAGTTAAAAATTTTCCGTTGTTCAAAAATAATGTGGAACTTCAAACAGTATTCCTTATTGAAAATATGAACAACTGAAATAGTTACAGGTGCTCTTATAATCAGCCTTTGTAGTAAAAGCCTAGAATTTTCCTTTTTTCTAAACCAGATGTATATACAAATTTCTGTAGGATTATCAAATTCTACTTAATAACGTTTAGACTACAAGGAAATATGTTGAAAGAACTTGACTCCTCTCACAAAAATGAATTTATAGCTAATCTGTCTCGTAAAGATGTAAGAGAATGTGGTTTTATGCCTATTTTTATATAACAATATAGTAGTTAGAGGACTTGTAAAAAAAATAGATTTTTATTTACATTAAAAATCTTTAAAAATATTTTTATATTTTTAAATATAAAGAGTTCCTTTATAATTATTTTACAGATATTACCACGCCCAAAGTGTGAGCTACATTACACTTAAGCAAATTAATAAAGTTAGTCAAAGGATTTATATTCTTAAACTGTTTATTTTCTCCACTTATTATCAAGAGATTCTGCTACATAGTAGAGATGCTTAAGGACAGATTAAATTAATTCCATTATATTGTGATATACTATTCTATTTTAGTAATATTTACCATCTAAAAATGAGGTATCTAGTTTAATCTAATACTCCAGACATCCTTAGTAACAAACTGAGATGCTATCAAAAGGTGATTCATTTCTGTTTTACAGATGTTTAAAATAGATACAATTGAATAGCTTCTGAAATTAACTAATTTTTACATTTTTAATTAATATCTAAATTAATGGCTTAGGCTAAATGTTTCATTTTAAAATGAGTGTCATTATACAAAAGTAATTTTGCCATTTGTTTTAAGAATTCTGTAGTGATTATCTCTTAAAACCAGTAGTAGACTCTTCACTTGAGCAAATATCAGGAGGAAAATCTAACTCTAATGTAATTAAGCATATCCTTTGAATTATTAGAGAGCTTTTCTCTCTGTGAATATTCTATAGTATAATGTTTAAAATTAAAATATAACATAATTTTATAAATAATATTATTAATATGCTACAATAAATATCCTGTATAAAATATATACATAAAAATATAACCATATATTGCTCTTACATTCTTCTCAAATATCTTTTTATGACACTTTATCCCACAAATACTTTAGTGTATTCCAAAAGGTTACTTAAGGAAAAGTTCCTAATCAACATTTAGAAGTTTGAATTGGGAGCACAATAAATCTGTATGTTTTCTTTTTGCTGTTAAGAAGAATAATTTTGGATAAGGTGACAAAGGATTATTTTTTTTTTCCAGAAGAAAGAACTATATTCTAGTGAAGATCAGCATGAATTGATACTTATCTTCTTCCTGGACACTCAGTTTCCTTTCTCTTTCCTCAGGTATGATCCAAAAACTGATACATGGACAATGGTGTCTCCACTGAGTATGCCCCGAGATGCTGTTGGTGTCTGTCTCCTTGGTGACAAATTATATGCAGTAGGTGGCTATGATGGTCAAACATACCTGAACACTATGGAAGCATATGACCCTCAAACTAATGAATGGACACAGGTAATCATAAAGTCTTTATTTTTATTTTTTTTTTTTTTTTTTTTATCTGTAACATATTCTGATAGTTGTACATAAAAACATTACTTTTCTGAAAACAAGTATAGTATCTGAGATTGCCATAGCTATAAATGTAGTCCTAGTATTTTATCAAGTATTATGTCAGGAGTTTCCTCTGAAGACAGAATGGGAGAATTAAGTCCTAAGAAACTGTAAAAAGACAGAATAAGCAGTCATTGGAAATATTTTCTTGTTACCTTTCAAACAAAATTCTTGTTCTGATCAATTTCTATAGCAAAGTAATTTTGTTAATCTTTGTTCATGCAGAAGAAATGTTACAAAAAAATATCAAAATCAATCTGGAATTTTAATTGGTAACCAGCATGTCCTGAAGATCTTTCATATGAAAATTTCTTTATTTTGTGTAGACAGGCAAGTTTTTGTTTAATTCTTCAGTTCTATTGTCTTCTCTGATGGATATTTTGAAATGTTATACTGTATATATGTTCCTAATGTTGAACCATATAAGAATTAATAGGTATAATAGAAATAGTGGTATAATGCAAGAAGCTGTGGACTAGAGATTTTGTTGTAGAGGAATGATTTATGTTATATCACAGTAGTGCTTGGAAAGATTTGGATTCATACCAAAGATTTAAAAAAACCCAAAATATTATTTTTCTGTTATTAGTTGTGTTTCAAGACTTTCTGAAAAATTAATTTGTTCCACCATCACAGATGTTTACATCTGAATTAGTCACTCTAAGTTCCCTTTAGATTTAGTGAAGAAAAGTACATACTTCAAAAGCATCACTTTATCCTAAAATAAAAATTTAAAATAGATCAGATACACTATACTCAAAAAAGCCTATTTCTTTTCGTAATTGTAAAGCGGGGCTTCTGTTGTCAAGTTTAAATGTAGATATACAAGGTGTTAAGTTATATGCAGAAGCCCATCTTTTTTTTTATCTACTATTAATTAAATTACAAGAGAGAATTTTTATGAGATTCTGTAGGAAATAAAAAATCGATTTGGAAAGATTCTTTTCCCAAATACACCAGTCCACATAAAAAAGCCGTGAATAGTGATGTTTGGACAGTTTGTTAGGAAACACGCAAGACCTCTGCTTTGGTATGTTTGGTAGCATTAATTACAGTGTATTATCATTACTATTATTATTGCATACCATATAAACTGACTCTACTATGTTAGTTTCATCAAGATACAGTTTCCTAAAGTTATTCATCCTTGTGTGGTATTGAATAGCGTCTAAAGCTGCCAAACTTATTCTGAAGGACACTTGAACCTCTTTAGGAATACTGGAAACACACAATTTTGGAATTGGTAAACTTGACCTTACCTCAGGGACTAAAGTGGAAGCATCAATTACATTCCACAGATTATAGAAAACCCTTTCACATCAACAGTTCACTAAATTGATGACAGATCTAAAATCACTATTTTTTTCTGCTCTCACACTTTCAAGTGAAAGATGTCAGGTGCGAGTAAGTAACTTTACAGTACTAGGATATTATGGGTTGTATCTATTTTTAGTTGTTTATAGTCCCATTAATTTTGACCATTTTAGAATAATGCTGACACAGCACTTTGGCAATCTCTCGCATAGCTTGTTCCTATTCAGTTAATTTGTATCTTTTTTTCTGCAGATGGCTTCCCTAAATATTGGAAGAGCTGGTGCCTGTGTTGTAGTCATCAAACAACCATGACTTTGTCAGCACTGCTGAGGATTTTACTGACTGTGAAATGATTATTTTTCTATCAGACAGTGAGAATGATAACTTCACGAGAACAAGGATTTACACAGTGAATACTCTGTTGGACACGAACTTGAAGAAGTTTGGAACTGAGAAAAATTAAGTATTTATGCCCTATAAAATCATAAAAACTGTTCACAGTCAGTGAACAAGAAAAAAAATCAAGCTGTTGTAGGCATAAATATGTGAACATGGAGTAGTAAGTTCAGGTACTGTTCTTGTGAATGTGTCCTGGAGAACTGGATAATCAAGGGCCAGCTCTACACATGGAGCGAGAGGAAATATAAGAACAGTTTTCATGGCCACAAGGGTTTTAACTAAAGAAACATTAAAGTACATTTAATCATTTTCAAACTGTGTTTTTTAAAAGAGAAAAGTAGATAGTAATATAGAATTTTTATGTTCAGGTCTTGTCTTCAAATGGGTTATGGCCTCATTTAAACAGGCAGTTTTATTCTTACTGAAGGGAAGAGATAGAAAAGTCTGGATATTCAAGTTTCATTCATAATGACTGAGCTGTTGCTTTACGGTAGAAAGAAATACAAAACTAAAAGCAAACCTCCAAGATGTCTTTTTTTTTTTTTTTTTTTTTTTTTTGTAACTTTGTATTGTACCTCTTTGCCAGCATTAACACATCTTACAAGTGAGTCTATGGAAGGAAAACCCTGTGTGTTTACTGTAATTATACACAAAGCAATCCTTTGGCTGCACTAGGGCTTTGTTCAAATATGGAAGTAAAAAGAAAAGCTTCCTAATTCTTTCTTAATCTTATATTCAATTTAAGCATGTGGGCTCTGATCTCATTGTTTAATACATCTTCTGCCTGTTGAAAGTTCACGAACAGCTGGAAAACTAATACTGTTCTTTCACTGCATCGTATAACAGATGAACCATGACCAGAACAGTCTATAGACTCTCTTCTAATGTTTCAAGCAGGATAAAAATACTACATTTTAATGTAATTCTTTCTGATGCTCATACATACAGAACTTTGCATGATTAGAGCTGCCAATTTATGACTTTTTACTTATGACTTAGAGTAACTGAAAGTAGGGAATTCAGAATAAATACAAGTGGAATAGGGAAAATTAGACTATTTGATCATATGGCAAAAATACTAGTGTAATCTGTGCTTCCCTTTAGTGTTGATAATTTCTGGCGGTAATGATGCTTTGAGCTTTTGCCTTGGCAGTAGATCTGACATTGATGCTTTCTATCTGCTCAGCTGAATCAGTTAAAATCCCAAGGGCAATAATAGAATATGAAGTTCTGCTATTCAGGGAGGCATAGGTTCCCGAAACAGGACTACCAAGTATATCTCTTCTTTAAAACTTTGCTGACCCTTCAGGAAACATTTCATGGGCCATAAGCAGAAACCTCAGTCCTCTGTCACTAGCAATTTTGAGGAGGAATTCTGGTTGTAGTTAAAATAGTTTACCTAGTGAAAAGGGTTTTCCTAATGGAAACCTTTGAAATCATTTGAGATGAAAAAATGCATTCAGCTTCCTACTTGGGGCATTTGATATGAAGATGTGTCTTTGCTTCTAACAGCATCAGCATACATGGACATCTTTATTTCCTGATAGAAAATGAACTTCAGTTCTGAAACCTAAGTGTACTGCTTTAAATATTTTAAATGCTTCTTTGTCCTCATTAGAAATCAGCTGCAAAATCTTCAGTATTAGTTTTCCACAGTCAATTGATTTTCGAATTGCAATTAGTCTTCCACATACAAACGTCCATTTTTCCCCAACTATAAAAACTTGTTAAATAAAGATGTTATGTCTCTACAAATTTTGCTTCACATAAACATTAGCTTCTGAAATCAATCCAAGAAGATTCTAGAATTATAATTGCAACTATAGATACTAGCATTCAATTCACCTACACAGATATCTAATGAACTTAAAAACTGAATTTTAGTTCTATTCACAGAACTTTTACATTATATTAATACATAATAGAAATATCATTACCTATATAATGACCTTTCAAAAAGGATTACTTCTACTAACTGCAGTCTCCATTGCAGATTTGTTTTCTGTGCCATGAAAATTCTTATTCTCAGTTTTATTTTTTATTCTTATTTTCATTTTACACATTTCCAATTTGTCTTTATCCAAAATGAAACATTATTCTCATGTGAAATTTTTCAGACTACTCCACTTCTCTTAATTTGAAAGCATAACATTATTTTTTAAAATTTTATTTTACTATGTAAAATCTAGACACAAAAAGATGCAATTTTGCCTTTGAGATTATTTTTACACAACTACATCAATATTTTCTGATGTTTCTTCTGACTAGTGCTAAACAATATTACATTTGCAGGAAAAGCAGCTATCTTTTCAAAATCCAGATTTTCTCATCATTGCTAATCTAGCATGGTACATTTTCTCTCAAATAATTCCTTTGATTTCACAATATGAAAATCACAGTGGAATCAGATCTGCAACAAATATTTTCAATTAAATAAATAATTAAATTCCTCAGAATGCTTCTTGTAAATTTTGTAGCTTAATATCCTAAGTGTGTTCTAAAATGTTAACGTTTTCTGTATCTTTACTTTTTAATTATTATTATTTATTTCTTGTAGCATGATTTTTTTTCCCAGGAAGTCAACCAATTTTACTACCATGTCTTTGTTTCACCTTAGCCTGTATTTATACATGGGAGTTATATCTATTTTTTTCCCTATTGTTGCTAATCCTTATGTTTGAACATATTTTATATTAATCAAACATAAGTAGAAATAATTCAAATTAAGGTCCTCTGCGGTAATTAAAATTAAGGTCCTCTAAGGCTACTGAGAAGTCTTGCATTTCTCTGTTGTATGTGTTAAAAAGTCCTTTTCTTTTGCTTTTATTGTTTATTAGAGATTTTATTAATTTCCTTCTTGATGCTACTTGTTTTGAGACAGAATGAAGGTCATGGACATAAGTGCTAGAAAACGTATTTTTAAATTGATGAGTTTATGCAGATTTCTATATGAAGGTAGATGAAACAATACTGGCAGAAAGTGATCATTCCTGTGCCTGAGGATTTATATTCAAAAGCTTTGATGGACACAAAGAAATCAAGTCTATGCTCTTTCTTCAGTTTCCCTACTGAACTCTTCAAATCCATTGGGACATTATAGATCAGTGACAGCCAATTGTGATGCAGAATTTCCTTTTCTCTTTTTCCTTTAATTGATTATTTTTATAGTGAGGATAAAATATTTTCTTCTTAAAAAAAAAAAAAAATAAAAGCACAAATTAAAGTAGTTATATTTGAAGTGCTTATAGAAGCAATACCTAAAAGACAAGTGGGTTCCCCAGAAGCGTTAATAAATTCATCAGCATTATAGCTGTGGCAGTGCTGTTAATGTTTATTAATGCAATTATTAAAGAAATCATAAATGAAGTTACATTTCTGCAAGGTTTTGACTGGTTGTTTAAGTAAACAAAATCAAGAAAAATGCCATAACATTATGTCTCTGTTTTGCAAATTAATTAGTCTTCCTGATTTAATTCCTCTCAAGATGCTAGATAGATAAACTCTAGAATATAATTTTCTAGACAACCTTAGAGGATTTATAAATATGGAACAATTCAAGTTGACCTCAGTAGAAAAATTGATCAAGCAAAATAAGTAAATCTTTCCCTATCACTCTGAGGGTACCCTTTTTAATATGTTTCTATCAATATAGTAGTGTTAAAAAAGCCATTTTGCAAAAGAAAGACTAATCTTGTGATCCTTTGTTTTTTATGGAACTGTTGAATAACTTGCAGTTTTGGACCTAACTTTTAAATTATTTCTTACATTTACAGTTTTTATTACTGACAGTGAGGGATGCTAGGAATATAATCAGTATTAGTAAAGATCTACAAAGAAAAATGTCATTTAATAGACATTGTTTAGTAGAGCTCAATATTATTGACATTTTGGGGTCCAATTTTATTGAAAATTTTTGCATTGAAATCAAAGCCACAAATAAGGAAATAAAAATATCTGAAGGTAGGAATATTGTTACTTTAGCTTTAATTATAATTATTCAGTACATATCTGTATATGTCTTCTTGCAATCAAAATAATCATTTTGTTTAAAAACACAAGTAAATTTAAAAAATCATTTTGCATACAAACCAAACTTTTAAACATATGAAACTGGTCAAATTATTAAGGCAATTTAAGGATGTTTTCAAGGAGTTGCCTGTCTCAAACTGTTACTCTGTTAAGCAAACATTAATTGACTTAAAGGAACCGTTTTGGTATAGGTAAAGGATGATTTCCTTGAGGATCATTCTCTTCTACAGAAAACTGCCATCAGTTCACCGTTATTTAAAAAATACTCATTCTAAAATGTATTTTGAGAGCTCTCTATTATTCAGATTGTCTTATACAGTTAGGAGGACCAAATAAATTCCCTTTAATATATTTGCAACAACTTAAACACTTTTTGATTACTTCAATAACAATAATTCACAAATGAGTTGGAAGTTTTGCAATTTTTAATGGCTCAGACGTTGATGTCCATGAGCAAACACCAGAAACACTGTGCATTGTGATAATGAATTAAATGCAGCTTTTCCATAATAGAATTCACACTCTAGAAGTCTTTCCTTATTACTGTGCTCACAATGGACTGGGCATAATGAAACGTGTCCTGTATCTATGACTTCACATTAGCTATTTCACAAAGAATAAATAAAGAAGGCATTTTTACAAAGGCTCAAATAATGCTCTTGTAACTGTTATCAAATAGCAATAATAAATTAAATGAACAATTCTGTAATATTGTGGGAAACTTAGACATTTGATTATGTGCATGTATGGAATTTGATGGTGCAGAACCAGGTATAAAACTATTTATATATGTAAAATTCTCAGCCTGGAACAAGACATGGTGCACTTTTTTGCTATTAGTATCTCCCATATATACACCTGTGTTTAGTTTTTTATGCTCACAATCCCACTGTATAACGGCACTTTGTACAATAGTGCTTTCTCACTTTTCTCCCCTCCCAACACCCAGTATCTGTTTATATTGCAGATGCTTTCTACTATTAGGCACTTTTTCCCACAGAATTTTTTTTTATGAAAGCAGCGAGTATAACAGTACACCACATTGGTAAACAATTCCTTATCACTCTATATGCAAAGTGGATGTGAATGACATAAAAAATAAAGGTTTATTTTCATTTTCCAAGGTAAAACTTGTTTGATATGTCTTCAGTCTTTTGAAGATCTATAAATTGAAAAAAAGAAACGTAAATTTTATCAAAATTTTAACATTATTAATAGAGAGCTTCCAATTCTTCAGATAATCCAACTTTAAAAAATTGTGTTTAGTCATGCACAATTTATCACAATCCCAGTGTTGGCATCCAGATCTTTTGTAGCTAGTCATGTTTGTGAATGTGTCTCATTGTCTCCAGATTTTTTCTAGTCCAAATGACACCTCCAGTCGATAGATTAAAATATTAAATACAATATTTGCAACTGACATTTGAAACTTCTGTGTCATATGCACAAATCAGAAATCAGGACCCCAGGCTACTCACAGTGCATGTT